AAATCCATTAGAGGTAGTGTTCATAGCCAGCATAGGAGGTGCCTGCTATATTCTAAGCATAGTAGATCATTATTCAAGATATGGATTCTGTTATCTAATGAAAACAAAAAGTGAAACATTCCAGCATATTAACAACTGGCTACGTTTTGTGGAAAGGAAACAGAAATTTAAGATTAAATGCTTAGTGACTGATAATGGTACAGAATTTACCAACCAAAGATTGGAAAAGTTTTTGCAGGATGCAGGGATCCAGCATAAACGGTCGGCTCCGTACAGACCACAGCACAATTCGTATATTGAGAGACGAGGTCAAACATTACAAGCCATGACTAGAACAATGTTGGCAGATTCTGGTTTGCCTGAAAATTTATGGGGTAAGGCTGTTATGTGTGCTAACCATGTGTTAAACAACGTGGTTAATTCCTCTACAGGTGAAATACCATTCACCTTATGGCATGGGAGGAAACCAAATCTTAGTTACTTACACACATTTGGAACCCCAGCTTGGGTACATATTCCATCTAGTTTAAGGAGAAAGGATCAACAGAGAGCCAGAAAAATGTTTTTCGTTGACTATGAATCAAATCATAGGTCTTTTAGATTTTGGGCACAGGGAACTACTAGTGTTTATTGTAGTGCAAGTGCTAAATTTCTAGAGCACGATGGATGGGATAAACTAGAACGTGCAGGTTATAGACATGATAATAATACTGTTAGTATAAAGCATCATATTCCTGATGATATTCCTGAGGATTTAGATGATGTAAAATCCTCTATCAAGGAGGAAGAACAGGAAGTAGGTTTAGAGGAGGTAGTTTTAGGGGAGGAGTCAGATGAACCATCTGCTGTAAGTCCTGTATTACCTAGGAGATCTACTAGGGAAAGGCATCCACCTGATCGATATAAAGCAACCGTAGTTTGCCAAGTTAACATTGAACCTTCAAGTTATGAGGATATCAAGCTTTATCCTGAAAAGGAGCAGAATGCTTGGAAGGAGGCAATGAGTAAGGAAATTAATTCTTTAACCAAATTAGGTCTTTATGAAACTGTGAAATTGCCACCTGGTGAAAAATTAATAGGTTGTAGATGGGTTTACAAAATTAAGAAAAGCATAGATGGGACAGTAACCCATAAAGCTCGCCTTGTAGCTCAAGGTTTTTTTCAGACCGAAAAGGATTTTGATGAGGTTTTTGCTCCTAGTTTACGTGCGAGTACTTTAAGAACAATGCTAGTGTGGGCGGCTAAGTATAAATATAGTATTAACCATATAGATGTAGAGACAGCATACTTGCATGCTCCATTGAGACACACCATCTATATGAGGAAGCCTTTAGGAGTTGAAACACAAAACCACACTGATTGTTGGAAGTTAAATAAAAGCCTTTATGGTTTGAGACAATCAGGGTTTGAGTGGAACCAATGTATAGTTAAAGAGCTAAATAAGATCGGTTTTCATGAAGGTGTAGCGGATAAGGTTCTCTTTAAAAGAGAGAATAATGGGTTAGTATCACTTTTGTTATTGTTTACAGATGACATCGCCATAATAACTAAAACTGACGAGGAAGCCATAGATATTGTTAAACAGTTACAAACCAAATTTAAGATCAGAAATTTAGGAAATATTAGGCATTATTTGGGTTTAGATATCAATCAAACAGCTAGAGGTTATAAAATATCTCAATCTTGCAAAATAAGCCAAATGTTAAAACGTTATGGCATGGAGCTATGTAAGCCAGCTAAAACGCCTATGGCACAGGATTTTCAACAAGGTGAAATCCAAAGTCCTAAATTTAGTAAAGAGATCTACCAGTCTCTTATAGGTAGTCTATCTTATATAAGCAATTGGTCGAGACCTGATATTTCATTTGGAGTAAACCAATTAGCGAGGTATAATGCAGAGCCAACTGATAGGCATTGGCAGGCCACAAAGCGTATATTAAGATATCTGAAAATGACGATGCATTATGCATTGTATCTAGAACCTAACAATGATTTAGTATTGAGTCCATATGCTGATGCCAGTTTTGCTACTGATGTGACCACCAGAAAGTCCACATCGGGTATAGCTATCATGTTAGACAATTGTTTGATTGGCTGGAAATCAATTCTTCAAAAACATATTAGTCTTTCGACTATGGAGGCGGAATTCTCATGTTTGTTGCTAGTTTGTACTGATTTGATTTATTACAAACAATTAATGATGGATATTGATTTAAAGATGGATTATCCAATTGTAATACATGAGGACAACCAAGCTGCTATAAAAATAGCAACAAATTTAGCAGTTAAAACTAGATCTAAGTATACTGACATTAGGTATCTGAATGTTCGTCAGTGTATTCAAAGCAACATGGTTAAGTTGGAATATTGTATGTCGGAAGACAATATTGCTGATAATTTTACCAAAGCGCAAGGTGCTATAAAACATAAAACGTGTTGTGAAAGCTATGGATTAAGAATCTAAATTGTATATATTGACCTGTCCAAAGGGGAGAATGTTAGGATATGGTTTGAGCCTAATTATGTTGTCCAGGCAATATAAGTGTACTGTAACTTTAATCTGTAAATGTATTATGTTACTTTAAAGGTATTCATTGTAATGCTGAGTCATGCTGTAATTAGGTAATGACTGGTTGTGCGAGTATTTAAGCAAGGTATTGTAACGTATTCAGTTTGATGATGAAGCTGCTATGATAAGCTACCATTGAGAGGAGTTGCTATCTGCTAATCATCGTTTGATGGATCTGCAACCATTGTGGTTTCTGAACCAGAGTGAGTTTGTTATTCTAACCAACTACTGTTTGTTTGGTAAGAAGATATCTGTAACTACTGGACTGATTTACTGGCAAAGACTTGGAATTTGTTTAAAGACTATGAGACTGTTTTTTCTACTGTAAAGTAAACTTTTCATAAACCAGTTTGCATATCTCTTATTCATTGCTCTCAGCAACGTTTCCTTGTGCATTTACTCTGCTGGTTGGTAACACAACACCAATATCCTTAACATAGTCTATAGGGGGATTTCAAAAGAATTAAGAATTCATGATAAGGATATTCTCATTTGCTTAAATGTTCATTGTTTTAAGTTTTTCAAAACTTTAGGTTTTGACATTAATATCTTGGAAAATCCTAGAAAAGAATCAAGCAGAGGATTTATGAGCACCTAGAAATTAACAAGGTGATTACTAGAAGCCAGCATGAGTTTGTTAAAAACAGATCATGCCAAACAAACTTTACCCTCTTCTTTGATAAAGTGATTAAATTATTGGATCAAGAAAATCCTGCGGCTATAGCATACTTAGACAGTGAGGCATTTGACAAAGCAGACCTCAGTCTACTTCTTAGTAACAGAACAATGTGATAGATAGTACCATCACCAGATAGATTTGCAGTTGTCTGATCAACCTCATTCAGCAAACAGCCCTCATTGGAATTACATCTATAAGGAGAGAAGCATGTAGTAGAGTACTTCATGGTTCTGTCTTGATCCCAGTGCTCTTCCACATCTTCATAAATGATTTAGATAAGGGGATAGAAAGGGAGCTCATCAAATTTGTAGACAACACCATGCTAGGGGGAATTGTTAACACTTTGGAAGAGAAGTTTAAAATTCAGAAGGATCTTGACTGACTAAAGGAATTGGCCTTATCCAGTAAGATGTAGTACAGGGGTGGGAAAAGTATGGTCCTGCACTTAGGGAGGAACAATCAAATGCACAGATATAGAATAGGCAGCATGTGGATCAACAGTTATAAATGAGAGGGATCTAGGTGTCCTGGTGGACTATTGTTTAAGTATGAGTCAGCGATGTGCTGCAGCTACCAAAAAGCCAATGTCATCCTAGGCTGCATTAACAGGGATAGCATCAAGCTGATGAGAAGTGATAGTACTGCTCTGTATTGCACTAGTGAGGCTAACTTGGAGTACTGCATACAGTTCTGGTCACTACAATACATAAAAGATGCTATGTAGTAAAGAGTGCAGAGAACAGCAAACAGCAACCAAGATGACAAGAGGTCTGGAGGCCAAACTATCATATTTTTCGGAGTATAAGATGCACTCCCCCCCCACCAAAAGAGGCTGAAAATTTGGGTGCATCTTATACTCTGAATGTAGCTTTTTCGAAGCTTTTTTTCAGCCCTAATGAGGCGCTAGTGAGTGAAGTGATTTTTCGGGCAATCTCTGACAATCAGCTGTGTAGAAGCTGTTTTTCAGCCCTAACAAGGCGATAGCGAGTGAAGCGATCTTACGTGTTTCACCTACTTTTCTCATTGCTTCTCTCTCCGACGATCAGCTATGCTTTAGAAGCTAGTTTTTATCCCCTACCATGCGTCTGTGAGTGTAGTGAGCTCATGCACGCTCAAAACCAGCAAACTAATGTGCTGAAGCTGACCAGACTAAGGATGCTAGCCAGATGAATACCTTGTAGGCAGATTTTGTTCCCCTAATTTCCTCCCCAAAAACTAAGGTGCATCTTACACTCCGATGCGTATTATACTCTGAAAAATACGGTATATGATGAACAGTTAAGGGAACTAGATACAGTACATCTTGCTAACAAAGAGAAGAATTAGGGGTGACACAATAGCTATCTTCTAGTACTTGAGGAGCAGTCACAGAAAAGAGAGGGTTGCTTATTCTCCAAAGCACCTGAGGGCAGGACAAGAAGTGATGGGTGAAATCTCATTAAAGAGACATCCAACCTGGAACTAAGGGGGATTAGAATTAGAATTAGAATTAGGGCAGGGGTTTGGATTAGTATATCTCCAAGGTCCCTTGCAGCCCTATGATTCTAAGTTTATTTTTAAAGTTTTTCTTCTTCCAAGGAAGAAAGACTTAATCTTTACTTGGCAGCATCCATCTTTACTAGCCAAAAAAAAATTTCTAAAAGGCCAAATAAATGTAATGAATATAACTCAATGTATTAGTCATCTCCTATATTTAATTAATGAAATGTACATAAAGTTTTTTTTTAATTCTGCATATATTTTACATTTTAGGTATGCATCTCTTACTTTTAAAACAGCCTGTGATGCAAAGCTGGCTGTACAAGAAATGAATGGGAGAGAAATAAAAGGAAAAGCAATGAAAGTTCATCTTAAAAGGACAATTAAGGAAAAAGGAATCCAAGAGAATCAAAACTCCATGAAACAAAAGTGTGAAAATCAAGGGCCACTTTCTAAAATGAGAAACAAATATCAGAAAAACTCTGAACTGATTTTGAGAGTTCCTGCTCTAATCTCAGCTACATTCATACTGCCTCCAGATGATCCTTTCACTTTAAAAATGTCTGATGTCTCCAAAGATGATTTGAAGTCACCGTTGCCTGCTTTGCCATTGGCAAATGTTTTCAGACCTGCATCAGGTTCTTCAGAAGTGCTCCTTTGTGCTTCAGGCTCTTCCAAAGTGCCCAATTCTGACATATTTTCTAAATCTTCACCAAAAAACCCATCCTTTGAAGTAGATCAAGAGGTAACTTTTATGGGATTACATATCAGAACATAAAGGTATATCTGTCTATCTATTTGTAAGGTTTAATACAGATAAGCTTGCTTAACTGATAAGTGCTGGTCTTCCGAGGTCATCATTTCTCTTAATGCATTAAACAATGATTGGCTTCAACATTAATTTTTATTAACACTTAAGTCATCTATATATGACTTAAACTCTTGAGTCTGTCTGCTGGTAACCTTCAATTGGACAGAACGGTGCATTGTAGGGCAATAATTTTTGAACCAAGGTATCTCAAATGGGTTAATTTACAGAATGTGTCAAAATCCATTAATCCTATGGATTTTAAATTTGGTAAAGTTGTGGCTACTTCAGCAATGCCCTGTTCAGTCTTGCTCACGTGATCATCATTTTCAACATTCCCTGGCAGCTTTCCACAAGTCAGTGGGGAAGCCAGCCGGAAGTCTAAACTTGATTGGGACTGCTATTGCTCTCTGCCATTTTCTCACAAGCAAATAGAAACTAGATAACCGAGCAAAGTCAGTGAGGAAGTCAGCAAGAAGTTGCAAGTACAAGGTCAACAGGCAGGTAAGTAGTTGCTGCCAGGTGGGAGCGGAAACAAAGGTGAGAGGTGCAGCAAGGGTTAGGGAGGATGTGGGATTATGAGAGCCACAGGGAGGGGATATAAGAGTGCAGTGTGGATCAGGGAGGGTGTATAGGGTGTCAGGGTTCCGAGAAACACCCCCAACAAAATAAAGCTCTGAGGCCTGAGGTTCCTCAAAGTTCCAATTTATTAGAGATGTCATGTTGGCACATCTGGGAAAACCCAAATCTGAAACTTCCAGGTTTTCCCCACCCAGCGAAGAGTTCACAGCCCTGCCCCACACCCACAAGTTCATCACATTGTCCAATCAACTCTTCACACTCCACCGGATACAATCTTCAGTCAGTCTCCATTAGATGCAGGCAAAAGTCCTTGAGTACGGAATGTTGTTATGACTAACTTTCTCCCCCCTCCCAACTTCCCCAGCTAAAATATGTGGCAGTTTAGAAGCAAAAAGAAAATTGTCTTCCAAAACTGACAGGCTTCCTCCCCTCAGGAAGGGAACGCATCCTGGGACAAGACTGAAGTCAGGGTTTTACACAATTAGCACATTAACCACCTCTCCTCCCCCCCCCAGGAAAACCCTTAGGCTTATCAGGGAATTTATCATGAAATTGCCTAACTAAGGTGACTGCCTGAACATCCCAACTCTTCACCCACGTGGCTTCAGACAAGGGGTACCCCTTCCAATGAACCAAATATTGCAAACGCCCCTCTGCAATCTAGAGTCCAAAATCATCTTCACCTCATAATGAGTCTCACCCTGCACCACAATCGGCTTTGGGGGAGCAGCAGGTTGAGTCTCAATTTAGATCCCACAGCAGGCTTTAACAGGCTGCAATGGAAAACAGGATGAATTTTTCCCAGTATGTGGGGGAGATTTAACTATACAGTCACTGGGTTAATCACTTTCACTATGGGGAAGGGACCTAAATATTTCGGTCCTAACTTCTTACTCTTCAACCTCAAACGTAAGTATTTGGTGGAAAGATACATGTGATCTCCCACCCAAAAGGGGGTTTGGAGAGATCGGTGTTTGTCTGCTTGCTTTTTGTATGCTTCAGCTGCTTCATTCAGGGCTTTTTTGGTATTCTCCCAGCCTTTCTTTAATGACTCCATCCATCCATTCATTCAGAGTCATGGAAGAAGGCTGTTCTCTTGGCAGTTCTGGCATAGGGACGAATTCCATGCCGCTTGTAATCTGAAAAGGCATCAGTCCCATACTACTATGCACCACATTATTGTAAGCCTCTTCTGTGAAAGGAAGCAAGTCAGCCCAATTATCTTGCTGGTAATCCACATAACATCTGATGTACTGTTCCACCATGGCATTAGTATGTTCCACGGCTCCGTTCGTACTCAGATGGAAAGCCAAGCTAAGCCCCTGAGATGACCTAGTGGACCTCAGGAACTCCCTCCAGAACTTAGCGGTGAACTGAACTCCTCGATCAGAGATCACCCGTCGCAGAACTCCATGCAGCCGGTAGATCTGTTTGACAAACATCTTGGCTAATCTCTTAGCTGAGGGAAGTCCAGAACAAGGAATAAAATGGGCCTGTTTGGAGAACAGGTCTATCACAATCCATATTATAGTATTCCTGCCACTTTCCAGGAGCTCTATTATAAAGTCCACAGCTATTTCTTCCCATGGGCAGCTGGACTCTGCTACCTGTTGAAGCAAACTGGGAGGCTTCCCCAGTCTTGTCTTATTGCTGGCACATGTGGCATAACTTTTTACATAGTCCTCCACATCAGCTTTCATCTTTGGCCACCAAAACTGCAGTCTAATCAGATGAAAGATCTTTAGAAATCCAAAGTGACCAGCCAATTGAGAATCATGGCTACGTTGGAGCACCAGGAGTCTCATGCTGTTGGGGATGTAAATTTTTGAACCTTTCCAAGCTAGTCCATCACGGATCGTCAAAGTGTCTCAATTGTCAGCTAGCTGTGGATCAATAGATAGTGCAGCAGTTAGCTTCCCATTGATGGGATCAGTTCGCCTGCTGGCCTGACTCTGGGTAGTGACTTGTGCCGCACTCTGTGTGTCTGGGATGATGGCATGGATGACGTCCTCCCTCTGGCTGTTGTATTGGGGTTGCCTTGAGAGGGTGTCTGCAAGCAAGTTCTTCCCCCCTGGGATGTATTTCAGCTTGAAATCAAACCGTTTGAAATACTGTGCCCAGTGGACTGGTTTGGGGGGAAAGCCTTCATGGGGTCTTTAAGGCTTCGAGGTTTTTATGGTCTGACCATACCTCAAAGGGGATCTTGGCTCCCTCTAGGAAGTGCCGCCATGATAGAAGAGCCCAACGAATAGCAAAGGCTTCCTTCTCCCATACTGCCCATCTCCATTCAGTGTCTGTGAATTTTTTGGACACATATGCACAAGGAAGCAGCCGTCCTTGGGGGGGTCTTCCTGGAGGAGCACTGTTGCCACTGCAACGTTGGCGTCAGCCTGGACAATGAACTGCCTATCTGGGTCCGGGTGCTGAAGGATGGGCTCCTCTGCAAACAGCCGTTTCAAGCTTTCAAACACTTTTTGACAGCTTAGCGTCCAGGCTAACGGCTGCATTGGCCGTGGCTTTGAAGGAGAGGGTCCTGTCTTTAGCAGTTCGGTAAGCGGCAGTGCCGCTTCCGCGAAGGCTGGGATGAATTGCCGGTAGAAGTTAGCAAACACCAGAAAATTTTGCAGCTGTTTCCTGCTGTGAGGGGGCTGCCAGTCAAGTATGGCTCGCACTTTCCCGGGATCTATCTCTATGCCTTCATTCGACACTCAGTAGCCCAGGTAGTCCAGAGAAGTTTTGTGAAACTCACATTTGGATAACTTTGCATAAAGTTTTGCGGCTAACAGTTTCTTTAGTACTTGTCTCGCATGTTCTTCTAATGTCTCACTGAATATGAGAATGTCGTCCAAGTAGACTAGAAGCCCCTTGTATAAGTGTTCTTGCAGCACTTCATTAATCAATTCTATGAATACAGCAGGGGCTCCTTGGAGACCAAAGGGCATGACTTTGAAATGGGCAGTTGAAAACAGTCTTCCATTCATCCCCTTCCTTTATGCGTACTCTGTAGTAGGCTTCTCTCAAGTCAAGTTTAGTAAGCACTTTGCCTTTTGAAAGATAGTTCAGTAGGTCTTTCATCAGGGGAAAGGGGTAGGTGTTTTCCACACATACCGCATTTATTCCACGAAAATCCAGCACAGTCTCATCCCCCCATCTTTCTTTTCCTTAAACAGCACCAGGGCAGCTACTCTGGATTTTGCAGATTGGATGAACCCTCGGGCTAGATTAGTATTGATGTACTTCCTCAGCTCAGCCATCTCTTTTGGAGTCATTTTGTTTTTTGAAAAAAATTATTTTTTAAACAAAACATAAAACAAATCCATCATCCATTACAAATACAAACAGTGTGTCAGTCGGTTACAGATCTTTTGTGCATCATCTTCCTATTCAAAATTTACTAATTATCTAGTTTCTCATATTGTCAAACAAATCAACATCCTCATTTATCATTTATTTAATTATTGCATTGTTGCTTCAAAAAGTTTATTTTCAAATATTATATTTATAACATTCATGCTTCATATTTCATTTCCATGTTTTATTATCTAACCATTGATAAAATAAGTCCCATATCTTGTAATATTGTTTATCTTCTTGTTCTCTAATTTCAAATGTCAATTTACTCATTTCAGCACATTCCATGATTTTCTTAATAATTTCATCTTGCGTTGGTATTTTCTCATTTTTCCATTTTTTAGCAAATACAATTCTAGCAGCTGTTAAAACATTCACAATCAAATATCTCGATTCTCTATTGTATGTTTCTGGCACAATCCCTAATAAAAATATCTCTGGCTTAAAGTCTATGTGTTTTTTTTGTCATTTTTTCCAACCATGTGTGGATTTTAGTCCAATACCTTTTCGGTTCCACACATGTCCACCACATATGGTAATATGAGCCCGGTATCTGATGACATTTCCAACACTTCTCAGATTTGTTCTTGAACATTCTCGCTATTCTTGTCGGGGGTAGATGCCACCTGTAAAACATCTTATACAAATTCTCCTTATATGCTGTTGACATTGTCATTTTATAATTTTGCATCCACAATTTTTGCCATTTCTCTAAATCAATACCATAACCAAAAAATTTTCCCTCATGCAATCATTGTTTCCTTAACTTGTTCTTCCAATTTTACCTCTAACAAGTAACCATACAATTTTTTAATTATATAGTCATCCGAGCCTATTAAAATTTTATCTAAATTAATCAAATTACTGTAAAAACTCTCTGTCTTAGAATCTTTATCATATCTAGAATGTATTTGTATATACAAAAACCAGTCCATTTTTATATCCTGTTCTAATTCTTGCTTCGATTTAAGTTCACCCTTTTCATTCAATAATTCACTATATCTAACAATTTGTTCCTTTCTAAATGTTATTGAATATGATAATGCTTCAATAGTAGATAACCAGACTGGAATTTTTAAATAATGTTGTCTTTTAATCTTCTCCCAATTTAATATTAAAGACTCTCAAATAACTTCAAATATCTTCTAAAATACCCCTGTGTTTTTGTGCCCTTGTACCATAAGAAAGCCTGCCAGCCCAACAACAAGTCATGTCCTTCTAAAGTCAACAACCGAGTATTTCTTAAGGTTATCCATTCTTTAATCCACATCAGATTTGTTGCTTGATAATATAATTCCCAATTGGGGCTTCCGGTTCTGGTCGCTGTTGTCGCCAGACGGTCTTTTATGACCGCCAGCCCCGCCGCCTGTAAAGAGCCGCCCTCACAGCTGAGAGGCAGCTCGAAAAAACTCCGCTTCTTTGAAGAAGCATGAGGAGAGCTGGCGAGAGCAGGTAGAGCCCCTGTGAAGTCCCCAGAGTGTTTTTTTTTTTTGCCTCTGGGGAGGAAGCAGGATGAGGCTCCCTATCCAACTCACCGAGGCTCCGGACGACGGGGGAACTCTGCTTATTGCAGAGCAAGACAGCACGACCAGCGTAATTAGTGAAAGTTAAAGGAAAATAAACAGCGTGAAATCCGGATTTGGAATCTAAAACTGCAAGTATATATATTACCCCTGTGATTGGATTTAAGATTGAAGAAAGAATGAAGGTTTAAAATGGCGTCCGGCTTTAGCCGCTTGAAAGGAAAAAAAAATTAAAAAGCTGAAAGCGAAAGTGGATTTGCCTGAATGCTTCAGTATGCTATAAAGTATCTAAAATAACAGCGCTGGTTAGAGGAGAAGGAAAAAGTTTTTTTTTCCAAACTGTTTTTATGCTCTATCTCCCTTAGAGGCTTGATTAATTCTGAGAGGATTTTGTGCTGGTGAGAAGGGAGAAAAGATTTCCTCCTTAAAAAAGAGTCTGTCTGTGTGGCAGAATGGCTTTAATGCCAGAAAACAAAGCTGTATGGGGGGGGTTCCCCTACTTATAAGTTACAAGAGCAGTTTCTAAGCACTGATTTTAAAGACTTCAAGGAATTTATTATTGTGCTTATGGACCAGAAGTTTGAGAAATTTCAACAGGAAACTAAGAAACTGGTGCAAGAAAGGTATGATAAGATGAGGTGAGATTTTTTGACAGTTCTGACTGGCTTCTCAGAAATAATTCTTCAGATTGATAAAAGAATCGAAGAAACCAACTTAGAAGTAGAGTCTAAAATGAAGGAAGCTGATTATAAGATCTATAATGTGGATAATAAAATGCAAAGGATTGAAAATGAAGTTACAATGATGCAATTCAAATTTATGGAATTTGCTGTAAGACTGAGGAGGATAAAGGAAAATAACAGAGATTTGAGAAGGATCTGTGCTGATGCTTTGGCTGTGATGTTATAGGTCAGCTCTGAAGAGATTTTATCCAAAATTGATAAGATTCACAGAGTGAATTCTTGGGTAGCAAGACAAAGGCAATTGCCCAGAGATGTAGTGATATATTTTACAGATAAAAGAATAAGAAATGACATCTTGCAAAAGTCTTTTGTTTCTACCCTACAAGTGGATGGAAGGCAGATTGGGATTTACAAAGAGTTGCCGCCTAAGATGTTAAAAGACAGAAAAGATTTTGGATTTTTGGTGATTGAACTAAAGAAACAACAGATTCCATACAGATGTCCCAGTTGGCATAAGATTGACGTATCAAGGAGAAAGATTAAACACTGTTGAAAAAGCGGAAGAATTTTATCGCAATGTTTTTAAAATTGGCCCAACATCTCCACGTATATTGTCAGTGCCAGGAATACAGGAGGGAGGTAAAGAAAAGCAAATTGAACAAAAGACCAAAGTCCAGTAGAAGCAGATGGAGGTGGAGCCAATGGAAAAACAAGGAAATACAGGGGGCTCTTTGGATGACTCGCGCTTGGATTATCCTTTGAAGGTTCTAGCTGGACCACTTAAAAACATAAGAGAAGCGGCTGTGGATCTTGATCTAATGTCCTGCACAGTTAAAGATCAGCATACAACTCGAACAGCATATAAACAAATTCCAGAAAAGCAATGACAGCAGAGCTTCAAGCCACCACAAGGCAAGAAAAAAAGCAGGTTCCACAAAACTAGAAAGTTTTAGACCAATATTTTTTTTGAATATGGATTATAAAATTTTTGTAAATCTATTATCCAACATATCAGTGCCAATTATCTAAGAACCGATTTACGTTTATGTAGGACTTATAGAAGGCAGATATATGAAAGATAATGTGAGGCAAATTATAGGCTTAGTGGACTATCTTGAGAAGAATAAACAGATCCCTGCAGTGCTGGTGTTTAAGCATGTGGAGAAGGCCTGTAATTGAGTGAATTGGAACTTTCTATCATAGATTTTAAGAAAGATGGATTATGTGTACATTGAAGGGAATAATTATGAGGCAAGAGGACTATGGAATAAGAGCATTTGCAGTTGATCTGGTTGTTACCCTAACACGACTGATGGAATTAATAATCTAGATGGAAGACTTTGCGAAGATATTATATGGAATATAAATATAAAGTCACTCGGGGGGGGGGGTTTAGACATAAAAGTATTTTTTAATGATGTGGGCAGATGGACTATCTTGAGAAGAATAAACAGATCCCTGCAGTGCTGGTGTTTAAGCATGTGGAGAAGGCCTGTAATTGAGTGAATTGGAACTTTCTATTATAGATCTTAAGAAAGATGGATTATGTGTATGTTGAAGGGAATAATTATGAGGAAAGAGGACTACGGAATAAGGGCATTTGCAGTTGATCTGGTTGTTACCCTAACACGACTGATGGAATTAATAATCTAGATGGAAGACTTTGCGAAGATATTATATGGAATATAAATATAAAGTCACTCGGGGGGGGGGGTTATACATAAAAGTATTTTTTAATGATGTGGGCAGATGGCAACTAAAGACACTAAATACTTTGTTGGAAGAAGGATCTGATGTGATTGTTTAGATTTTATAAATAATTATATATTGCGGACCTGCGGGAAAGTGGGTGAAACAAAACTGATAGGGTATATGGTGATAGATTAGGTTATATTGCAAAAGGGATGTTATTGAAGATTGGACTCTGAAGCTGGCTAGTTTTGTAGAAATGGTGAAGTTATTAACATATATAAAAGACCGGACACAAGAGATTTATGTAAGGGAGTGGAGGATAGGGATAGATTATGTATAGAATAAATACTAAACTAAGAAGTATTAGATAATTTTTAGATAAATGTTGTCTAGAAATGTATAGTTTACAGGGGATAGTATACTAGAATGTCAGGAAGAAATGTATAATTGGATTTCATTCTGGGGAAGCCATGGGGGGAGGGGAGGGCAAGGGGGGGTTAGGGAGGGAAGGGGGGGGAAGGGGGAAAAATTTGTATTTGTAAATTTTTTTCAATAAAAATATATATATATAATTCCCAATCCAGCAATCCAAAACCTCCTCTTATTCTAGCATCTTGCAACAATTTTAATTTTATCCTCGCCTTTTTACCCTGCCAAATATACTTTAACACTATTTTATTTAATTCTTCAAAATAATCTTTTCCCAACCTAATTGGAATTGTCTGGAACAGATATAAAATTCTAGGCAATATATTCATCTTAATAATTGATATCCTTCCTATCAATGATAATTGCAAATTCTCCCATTTAGCCAAATCTGTCACTATCTGTTGTTTAAGCTTGTAATTATTTTCCTTGAGTGTACTACATCTTGCTGTCAAATATATCCCCAAATACTTGACCTTGTTCGTGACCTGCATCTTTAATACTTCCGCCAGTTCTTCTTTTTGTTTTTATAATATATTTTTTGTCAAAATCTTCGTTTTATTTTTATTTATTTTCAAACCTGCTACCTTTCCAAATTCTCCTATTTTGTTTATTTCAGTTTATTTATTGATTCAAATGGATCTTCCAGAATAAACACCAGGTCATCTGCGAATGCTTGCAATTTATATTCTTCATTTTGAATTTTCATTCCTTTTATTTCTTTTTCATCTCTAATATTTCTGTTTAATACTTCTAATGTTAGCACGAACAACAGTGGTGATAGTGGGCAGCCTTGTCTCATTCCTTTTTGTATTTTAATAGATTCTGTCAATTCTCCATTTATCATTACTTTTGCTGTTTGTTTATGATATATGGTTTCTATGGCTAGGATAAATTTCCTCCCAAAGCCCATCTGTTTCAGCTGTAATAACATAAATCGCCAATTCACATTGTCAAAGGCTTTCTGTGAATCTAAAAACATCAAAGCCATTTGCTTTTCAGGATGTGCCTCATAGTATTCCAAAATGTCCATAATTATCCTCAAATTGTCTCTGATCTGCCTTTTTGGCAGAAATCCATTTTGATCTGAATGTATAAAATTATTTAAATAT